GGAACTGTGCCTGGGGCCCACCACATCGAGGTTTTTTTTCCTGCCCGAAGCGCGCTCAGCCCGAGTCGCGCTCCGGGCTATCACTTCGTCGAGCCGCCCTAGCGACCCAACGCCCTAGTGGCCCCGCAGCCCGTCGATTCGGCCCCGCCGCCCTTCGCTGTGGCCCCGCCGCCCTTCGCTGCGGCTCCGCCGCCCTTCGCTGCGGCCCCGCAGCCCTTCACTACGGCCCCGCCGCCCTTCACTGCGGCCCCGCTGCCCGTCTCAGCGGCCCCGCAGCCCTTTGCAGCGGCCCCGCCGCCTCTCTCGCTGCGGCCCCGCCGCCCTTCTCAGCAGCCCCGCCGCCCTTCGCTGCGGCCCCGCCGCCCGTCTCAGCGGCCCCGCCGCCCTTCGCTGCGGCCCCGCCGCCCTTCGCTGCGGCCCCGCCGCCTCACATTGCAGCCCCGCCGCCCTTCCCTGCGGCCCCGCCGCCTCACACTGAGGCCCCGCCGCCCTTCGCTGCAGCCCCGCCGCCCGTCTCAGCGGCCCCGCCGCCCTTCGCTGCGGCCCCGCCGCCTCTCTCGCTGCGGCCCCGCCGCCCTTCTCAGCGGCCCCGCCGCCCTTCTCCGCGGCCCCGCCGCCCTTCACGGCGGCCCCGGCGCCCTTCACTCCGGCCCCGCCGCCCCTCCCACTGCGGCCCCGCCACCTATCTTGCGGCCCCGCCGCCCTACCAGCGGCCCTACCGCCCTACACCGCCCGCGCCGCCCGAGCCGCCCGAGCCGCCCAAGCCGCCCGAGCCGCCTGAGCCGCTGGAGAGCCGAGCCGCCCAAGCAGCCCGAGCCGCTTGACCTGCCCGAGCCGCCCGACAGCCCGCGCCGCCCGAGCCGAGCCGCCCGAGCCGCCCGAGCCGCCCGACCCGCCCGAGCCGCCCGAGCCGCCCGAGCCGCCTGAGGAGCCGAGTAGCTGGTGTCGCGGAGCCGCAGTTGCTGCTGAGCCGTCCGAGCAGCCGTGTTGCCGTGTTGCTGTGCTACTGAGCTGCCCGAACCGCCCTGTCTGGTGAGAGCAGCGCTTCTGTCACCGCACTGCCCTTGTCCTACAGTTGGTACTGCTAGTCTACTGTTGTCATGGCTACACCTAGTGTCCTCGCGTTTGACGCTGAGGGTCGAGCCATTGACTTTGAGGTCTGGGTCGACAACCTGCAGCTGTTCTTACAGTGCGATAGGGCAGACGGTCTCTCTCTCTTTTACCTCACCTCTGGCGCCTCTCCTGCCCCTGCTGCTGATGCTGACCCCACTGTTCGCTCCCAGTGGGCCACGCGCGATGCTGCTGCACGTCTTGCTATGCGTCGCCACCTGCCTACCTCTGAGCGCGCGCACTTTAGTCAGTACAAGAGTGCTCAGACCTTGTACAACGCTGTAGTTGCGCGCTACTCTTCCCCTGCCACTGCTGCACTGAGCCGCCTCATGCTACCGTACCTCGACCCTGACCTTGCTGCCTTTCCCACAGTCGCTGACCTCTTTACGCACCTCCGCACTAGTGACACTCGCTACCGCGCCGCGCTTCCTGCTGAGTTCTGCGCCAAGAACCCCCCCCCCCCCATGTACATCACTCTCTATTATATAGTCACCCGCCTCCCTGACTCCCTTCGTGTAGTCAGGGACCACTTCCTCTCAGTCTGTCCCACCACTCTCACTGTTGACCTCTTAGAGAAGGCCCTCCTAGCAGCGGAGAAGAGCATAGTCGCTGTAGGAGCCTCTCGTGGTGACCCTCGCACCCCCATCTTTGAGGGGTGTTCTCCTTCCCCCCTTTTGCCCTCTGTCGCCTCTGCCGCTGCGGCCGACCTCGTTGGTCTTGAGTCGGTCGGTGCGGCGTCTGCCCCTAGCGGGAGACGCCGCTCTGGCAAGGGCAAGTGAGGCAAGGGCGCGGGTGGAGCTAGCGGGGGCGGTGGAGGTGGTGGTGGAGGCGGCGGAGGGAGTGGGAGTGGCGGTGGGAGTGGTGGCGGGGGTGGAGGTGTCGGTGGCAGCAGTGGAGGCGGAGGCGGCGGAGGCGGCGGCGGTGCTAGCGGAGGCGGCGGTGGTGGCAGAGGTGGCGGAGGCGGTGGTGGAGGAGGTGGCGGTGGTCGGGGTGGCGCTTCGCAGCGGAGCAGCCCTGGTGGTGGTCAGCGCCAGCACCAGCAGCAGCAGCGTTCTCGGGACATTCCCCCCCCTCAGGAGCTCCGTGAGTGGTATGCGCAGCGTCAGCGTGGTGGGGGTTTTGGTCCGTGCACCTACGTCCTTCGCTCCGGCGACCGCGCGGGTGAGCAGTGTGGGGGTGCCCACCCCACCCAGCGCTGCTTTGGCCGCCTGACAGATGCTTGGCGTCAGCAGTTCCCGGAGGCCAGTGAGATCCCCCGCTGGGGAGAGCTTTCTAGGGCAGGCGTAGCTATCTATGATCTTGACTTTGATGCTATCCTTGCTGCCATGTATGCTGTGACTATTAGTGATGAGGGTGACTGTTACCGGTGTTTCCCGCCCGACCCGGGCATTGGTACTGCTGCTCTAGGTGCTGGTGAGGCTGCTGCTCTAGGTGCCAGTGCGTCTACGCCCTCAGGTGCTGGTGAATCTGCGCTCTCAGGTACCACGTCGGCTTCGGCCTCCCTCACCTTCACACTTGACTCAGGGGCTTCTTGCTCCTTCTTTCGAGACCGCACCACACTCACGCCGCTTGGTCTGCCGGTTGCAGTCTCCCTGGCAGACCCCTCTAGGGGTCCTGTCCTCTCTCACTTCTCCACTGTCCTCCCGTGTCCGGCTGCCCCCTCTGGCACCTTGTCTGGTCTTTACCTCCCCTCGTTCTCTACGAACTTGGTGAGTGGTGCTGACCTGCAGGATACGGGGATTCACCAGTTTACTCCTGCGAGTCAGCGGGTGACCCACTGCTCGGACGCTCGCACAGGCCGGCACCTGGCCACGTTTACGCGTCGGCCGGGGTCGAGCCTCTACACCCTGACCACTGGGTCTCCTCCTGTCCCTGCGTCTAGCCAGGTGGCTGCGTCGGGTCAGGTGTTTGCTGCAGCGTCCAGGTCTGGTCCTGAGTCTGCCCCCTGCTCGTGTCGCCTCCTGTCTCACGAGACTCTCCTCTGGCACCACCGCCTTGGTCACCCCTCCCTGCCTCGTCTCCGAGGCATGGCTTCCCGTGTCCTTGTCTCTGGTCTCCCCCGGTCCCTCCCTCCCCTTCCTCTAGGGCCTGGTCCTTCCTGTGTTCCCTGTGTCGAGGGGCGGCTCCGGGCTGCCCCTCACTCCTCTCAGTTTCCCCCGACAGAGGCTCCGCTGCAGACGCTTCACATGGACGTGTGGGGCCCGGCCCGCGTCCGTGGACAGGGTCACGAGCGCTACTTCCTGCTGGTGGTTGACGACTACTCGCGTTACACCTCAGTCTTCCCCTTGCGCAGCAAGGGTGATGTCACTGAGGTGCTGATCGACTTGATACGCGCAGCTCGTCTCCAGCTTAGGAGGAGCTTCGGCTCGGACTTTCTGTTCTGCGTCTGCACTCTGACCGAGGCGGAGAGTTCTCCTCTGGCCTTCTGCGAGCCTTCTGCCGTGCGCGAGGCATCCGCCAGACCTTTACGCTTCCGGACTCTCCACAGCAAAATGGGATTGCTGAGCACCGCATTGGCATGGTCATGGACGTCGCTCGTACGTCCATGACGCATGCAGCTGCCCCCCATTTTCTGTGGCTGTTTGCGGTTCGGTACGCGGCGCATCAGATCAACCTTCACCCCAGGGTCTCCATGCCGGAGACCTCCCCAGCTCTGCTGTGGACGGGGAAGGTAGGCGATGCGTCTGTGTTCCGTGTCTGGGGATCTCAGGCGTTTGTCCGCGACTTGTCTGCGGACAAGCTGTCCCCTCGTGCTGCTCCTTGTGTCTTCCTTGGCTTTCCCCCTGACGCACCAGGGTGGCAGTTCTACCACCCCACCTCTCGCCGTGTTCTGTCCTCCCAGGACGTCACGTTCGACGAGTAGGTCCCCTACTACCATCTCTTCCCCTACCGCACTCCTTCCCTCCCCCCGCCGCCGCACTTCCTTGTGCCAGGTCCCCCTCCGGTAGACCCCCTCCCCCCTCAGGGTCCTGCCCCGTCAGGTGTGTCCCAGGTAGACGCAGTCGATCCGGTCGAGGTTGCTAGTGACTCTGGTGCTGCTGCGGGTGCTGAGCCTGGGGGTGCTGACTCTGGGGGTGCTGCGCGAGTGGGTGCTGAGCCTGGGGGTACTGAGCCTGGGGGTGCTACGACTGGGGGTGCTGAGCCTGGGGGTACTGAGCCTGGGGGTGCTACGACTGGGGGTGCTGAGCCTGGGGGTCCTTCGCCTGGGGGTGCTGCGTCTGGAGTTGCTGAGCCTGGGGGTGCTGCGTCTGGAGCTGCTGAGCCTGGGGGTACTGAGTCTGGAGCTGCTGAGCCTGGGGGTGCGGAGCCCGCGGCCGCTGGACCTGCTCGTGTGGCGTCTGGCGGTGCTTGGCCTGGTGGTTCTCTGGGTGCTTCGTCTCGGCGGGAGCCACTCTCTCCACAGGAGCTGCGCGAGTGGTTTGCGCGGCGCTGGAGGCGTACTGCTGGAGCTGGTGCTTCTTCGGCTGCTGAGGGTGCTGGTGCCGCCGGTCTCGGAGGTGCTAGCCCTGGGAGTGCTGGAGCTGCTGGGCCTGCGAGTGCGACTGGAGTCGGAGCTGCTGAGGGTGTTGGCGCTGAGGCTACTGCTGTCGGTCCTAGCGGCGGTCCTGCTGCGGGTGCTACTGGTGCTGCTGGAGGTACTGGAGCTGGAGGTGCTGTTGGCGCTGGTGCTGCCACTGGGGGTGCTGGTGCTGTCCCTGCTGTGTCTGGAGTCGCCGCGCGGCCTCGGACGTACTTTGTTCCGCTCCTTCAGCTGGTTCCTGGTCTTCCTCCTCCCTTAGAGTGTCCACCGCCTGTCCAGTCACAGTCACAGTTACCGCCGGCCTCCCCACTGCCTGCTCCTTCTCCCTACACTGGTCACCAGCACCTGAGGACGCAGACGCACTGGCACCTTAAGCAGCAGCCTCACTGGCACCTAGAGCAGCAGCCTCACCAGTACCTAGAGCAGCAGTCTCAATGCCCGGGTCGGGCGGGAAACACCGGTAACAGTCACCCTCATCACTAATAGACACAGCATACATGGCAGAACCGATAGCATCAAAATCAAGATCATAGATGGCAACTCCCGCCCTAGACAGCTCGCCCCAGCGAGGGATCTCTGTGGCCTCCGGGAACTGGTGACGCCACGCGTCCGTCAGGCGGCCAAAGCAGCGCTGGGTGGGGTGCGCACCCCCACACTGCTCACCAGCACGGTCGCCGGTGCGCAGGACGTAGGTGCACGGACCAAAGCCCCCACCCCGCTGGCGTGCAGTGTACCACTCACGGAGCTGCTGAGGGGACAGGGTCTCACGACCGCGCTGCTGTTGCTGACGCGGACCACCACCGTAGCCACTCCTCTGCGTAGACACGCGACCAGCTCCACCGCCACCCCCTCCGCCTCCGCCGCCTCCGCCGCCTCCGCTACTACCGCCGCCTCCGCCGCCTCCTCCACCGCCGCCACCTCCGCCACCTCCGCTCCCACCGCCACCGCCGCCGCCACCTCCGCCTCCACTGCCGCCACCGACACCTCCACCCCCACCTCCACTCCCACCGCCACCCCCACTCCCCCCGCCGCCTCCACCTCCACCTCCACCGCCCACGCTCGCTCCTCCAGTGCCCCTGCCCCCCTTGCCCTTGTCAGAGCGGCGTCTCCCGCTAGGGGCAGACGCCGCACCGACCGACTCAAGACCAAGGAGGTCGGCCGCAGCACCAGAGGCAACAGAGGGCAGAAGGGGGGAGGGGGAACACCCCTCAAAGATGGGGGTGCGCGGGTCACCACGAGAGGCCCCTACAGCGACTATGCTCTTCTCGGCCGCTAGGAGGGACTTCTCGAGGAGGTCAACAGTGAGAGTGGTGGGACAAACTGAGAGGAAGTGGTCCCTGACTACACGAAGGGAGTCAGGGAGGCGAGTGACTATGTAGTAGAGAGTGATGTACATGGGGGGGGGGTTCTTGGCGCAGAAGTCAGCAGGAAGCGCAGCGCGGTAGCGAGTGTCACTAGTGCGGAGGTGCGTAATGAGGTCAGCGACTGTGGGAAAGGCAGCAAGGTCAGGGAAGAGGTACGATAGCATGAGACGGCTCAGTGCAGTAGTGGCAGGGGAGGAGTAGCGTGCAACTACAGCGTCGTACAAGGTCTGAGCACTCTTGTACTGACTAAAGTGCGCAGGCTTAGAGGTAGGGAGGTGGCGACGCACAGCAAGACGTGCAGCAGCATCGCGCGTGGCCTACTGTGAGCGAACTGTGGCGTCAGCATCAGCAGCAGGAGCAGGAGAGGCACCAGAGGTGAGGTCAAAGAGGGAGAGACCGTCTGCCCTATCGCACTGTAAGAACAGCTGCAGGTCATCTACCCAGACGTCAAAGTCAATGGCTCGACCCTCGGCGTCAAAAGCGAGGACACTAGGGGTAGCCATGACAACAGTAGACTAGCAGCGCACACAGTAGGGAAAGGGCAGTGCAGTGACAGAGGCGCTATGCTTACCGGACGGGGCTGCTCGGGCGGCTCGGAGGTAGGGCGGCTCGGCGACTCGGTGGCTCGGCTGCACGGCGGCTCGGCTGCAGGGCGGCTCGGCTGCTGGGCGGCTCGGCTGCAGGGCGGCTCGGCTGCTCGGCTGCCGGGCGGCTCGGCTGCAGGGCGGCTCGGCTGCTCGGCTGTCCGGCTGCTCAGCTGCTGGGCGGCTCGGCTGTGCTGCTGTACGGCGGCGCGGCGGTCGGCTGCTCGGCTAGGTGAGGCGGCTCGGGCGGCTCGGGTGGCGGGCGGCGCTGCAGCAGATGACGAGGCCGCAGGGAAGGCGGCGGGGCCGCAAGTGAGGGCGGCGGGGACCGCAAGTAAGGGCGGCGGGGACCGCAGGTAAGGGCGGCGGGGACCGCAGGTGAGGGCGGCGGGGCCGCAGGTAGGGCGGCTGGGCCGCAGGTAGGGCGACGGGGCCGGGTCGAAGGTGGGGCGACGGGGCCGGTACGCAGGTAGGGCGACGGGGCCGGGGCCGGGGCGCAAGTAGGGCGACGGGGCCGGGGCCGGGGCGCAGGTAGAGCGACGAGGCCGGGGTCGGAGGTGGGGTGACTGGGCTGGGGTCGCAAGCAGGGCGACGGGGCCGGGGCCGGGGCGCAGGTAGGGCGACGGGGCTAGGGCCGGGGCCGCAGGTATGGCGACGGGGCCAGGGTTGCAGGTGGGGCGACGGGGCCGGGGTCGCAGGTAGGGCGACGGGGCCGGGGCGCAGGTAGGGCGACGGGGCCGAGGCGCAGGTAGGGCGACGGGGCCAGGGCCGTAGGTAGGGCGACGGGGTCACTAGGGCGATGAATCAGGGGCCGCTAAGGCGGCGCGACTTGGCCGCTAGGGCGGCTCGACGAAGTCAGAGAGGGGAGCGCGACTCGGGCTGAGCGCGCTCCGGGTAGGAAAAAAAAACTTTCGACTTGGTGGGCCCTAGGCACAGTTCCCACGAGGGAACCTGCTCGATACCATGAGAAAACTGAAACGAGAATGGAACACTAAGGAATGGAATGTGGTACAAATATGCAACCCTAGAAATGTGTACCCCATATGGGCTACCCCACTACTGCCTACAGAACATGATGATTTGACAGCATATGCATTATAATTATGCATTTTGCAATTACTTCATCTACGCATAACATCATCATGCATATGCATCACTGAATAAACAGTTATGCGTTCATAACACATTAAAAGAGAAGGAAGACAAGCTAGGAAAGAGAAGGAATGTGGTTCGGCACAAGGTAAATTGATGTGGCAAATACATAGAAGTCAGTCACTTTCAGCTACTCTTCATTAGATTTTTTTCATCCTTTATTTTGTTTTAGAGTAGAGGATGAAAAAAAATTGTACATAACGATCGTAATAGGTTGCTTCGCCACCCAAAAAACAACAACAACAACAACAACGTGCAACTTTCTAGTTATTTTAGCTAGCTGCGACGTCGATGAACCCTTGCGAAATGCAAGAAACACTTCAAATCTAAAAATTAAATGGAAAACTCCACATAGAGTCGCAGAAGTGATGCCCGAAATGCATGATGACCTTCGCTGCACCTTCGGTACTGACCGTACGCTGCATAGCGATGGACAAGTTGCAACAAACATATGGTGAACTCAACGTCGCGCTGTACAAGGTGCAACAAACAAACCTGGTTGACTCGCTAATGAACCATCTTACACGCGATGCTCGCTGTTGGTAGCACATTTGGTGCTACCTTCATCGACCGCTTGCCCAATTGCATTTTCTACCAGCCAGTTGGACTTAGGACGTGGTGCAGATCGCCTCGATCTCACACAATCGGTGGTCGATTGGATCAGATTGCGAGCGATTGGGTGTGATCGCCCCGATCTGACGCAACCATCGATCGCTTTCCGCGCCGCGCGATCTGACCCATGATTTTCGTTGAAACAAGACGGAACATCAACCGTGCCTTCCAAGCTAGTAGTATGTACTTTCCAGCTCAAGTTTGGCGAAACCAAGCGAGTAAATCTGTATGCCGAAATTACAGTGTTGCCCCATTACGCGTGTCACATTCATTTTCATTGGGGCTGCGTTGATTGGTCCAGAGGTTCAGCCTGGAAAGTTCGACTGTCGCGAGATGTTTTGTAGCAGCGAGCAAAAGCGAGTTTTAGCGACAATGGTTACAAAACACCCACATTCGCCCAACCTATCGATCGAGATCGATTGCATCAGATCGAGGCAATCTTTTGCAATCGATTGCGATCTCGAATGCGATCAACAGATTGCCCCCGATTGCCCAAAAGTACCCCTTGGACCTTCTCGGAAATCGCGGATTGCGGGATCGAGGCAATCAGCCTCAGATCGCCTCGATCTGCACCACGTCCTTACTTCAATAGCCCTAGAAGCAAGTTAATAATCGAAATCGGTCCGTCAAAATGAGAATATGTAGAGAAAAAAAAAGGCAAAGTCACAAAAAATGCGTTAAACAAATAATGCCAGCTCAAACATTCTTAAAGTAGCTTATTTATTACTCTTTGATTTTTTACAATCCCTGTTACTTGTCGGCAACGTGAACGGACGCTACCAAAATTCAGTGCTAGTTTCAAGCCTATAATATCAAATAGTATTGTAAAACTGGAATGTAAAAAGGGTGTACGTTGCCGTTGCAGGAGAGTCGACTTCTGAACCGCATTCGGGTGACGTGGGCAAAGGCTTGAAGTTGACACACAAATTTGGCGCGATGTGGAGCCTCTCTTCCAAGGTCTTGCATCCGCCGTAGAAACCATCCTTGAAGCTAGTACCAGACCATGCTTGTCGTAAGGAATTTACGTTCCTTACTGTAGCTTGACCTTAACGAGCATAGCCCAAGCACTTCGCGTTAGTTTGGGTTCGGCCTACACTTCGGCCCGAACCACATTCCTGTCAGAACTATGCTCTAGGCTCTAGTGGGGCACTCCTTAAGGGGAACAACCCAATTAGGTTTTGCATATACAAACCTTGGACTGCTGTGTTTCTAGTCATACTTCGTTCCTAATTTTGACATGGTTTCAAAGCAGGTTCCCTAGTGGGAACGTTTTTTTTTAGGGCCCACCACGATAATTTATTTTTTCATACCCTGCCCGAAGCGCGTTTCGCGCCTGCCTCACCAGCGCCGTCGCGCGCCCTGCCTTACTGCCGCCCGTCGGGGCCCTGCCCTCCTAGCCCATAGCGGCCCTGCCCTAACGGCCCGTCGCGGCCCTGCCCTTTCGCGGCCCGTCGCGGCCCTGACCTAGCCGCCCGTCGCGGCCTTGCCTTGTCTGTCAAACTTATATGCTATAGTCTGTGTAGGCTGTAGTGGGGTAGACAATATGGGGTATAACATTTCTAGGTTTTCCTACTTGTACCCACCTCTTTCCTAGTTTATTCATTCCTCAATTCTCACATGGTATAGAGCAGGTTCCCTAGTGGGAACTTCCTAGGGCCCACCACTGAAAATTGACTTTTTTTTCTGACCGGAGCGCGAGTCCCCCCTGCCCGAGGCGCGCCCCGTGGGCCACCCTCTTGTCGAGCCCTCCTATAGGCCCCTCTCACGGCCCCTCGCGCCACCCTTAGCGGCCCCATTGCAACCTCTAACGGCCCCGTCGCCGCCCTTCTAGGCCCCTCAAGGCCCCTTCGCGGCCCCGTCGCCGCCCCTAGCGGCCCCGTTGCCACCCTTCCAGGCGCCTCGCGGCCCCTTCGCGGCCCCTTCGCGGCCCCGTCGCCACCCCTAGCGGCCCCGTCACCGCCCTTCCAGGCCCCTCTCGACCCCTTTGCGGCCCCGTCGCCGCCCCTAGCGGCCCCGTCGCCGCCCTTCCAGGCCCCTCGCGGCCCCTTCGCGGCCCCGTCGCCGCCCCTAGCGGCCCCGTCGCCGCCCTTCCAGGACCCTCGCGGCCCCCTCGCGGCCCCTTCGCGGCCCCGTCGCCGCCCCTCGCGGCTCCGTCGCCGCCCTTCGCGGCCCCGTTGCCGCCCCTAGCGGCCCCTGTCGCCGCCCTTCCCGGCCCCGTCGCCACCCTCTAGCGGCCTTGTCGCCGCCCTTAGCGGCCCCGTCGCCGCCCCTTGCGACCCCGTCGCCGCCCCCCTTTCGGCCCCTCCCTGGCCCCTTCACTGCCGAGCCACCGAGGCGCCAAGCAGCCGAACAGCCGGGCAGCCGAGCCGCCGAGCCACCGAGGCCGCCGTCGAGCCGCCACTGCCATTGCCGAGCCGCTGCCACCGCTGTTGCAGCCCTGTTCCTCCCGGCGCGCCCCGGCCCTACCCACCCGGACTGGTGAGAGCCCTCCCTGCTAGACCACTGCTGTCATGGCTACCCCCAGTGTCCTTACCTTTGATGCTGAGGGTCGTGCTGTTGACTTCGAGGTCTAGGTCGATGACCTGCAGCTTTTCCTACAGTGCGATAGGACAGACGGACTCTCCCTGTTCGATCTCACCTCTGGTGCCTCTCCTGCCCCGCCTGCTGATGCTGACAGCACTGTTCGCTCACAGTGGGCCACGCGCGATGCTGCTGCCCGTCTTGCTGTGCGTCGCCACTTACGGACCACTGAGCGTGCGCACTTTAGTCAGTACAAGAGTGCTAAGACCTTGTACGACGCTGTAGTTGCACGCTACTCTTCCCCTGCCACTGCTGCTCTTAGCCGCCTCATACTGCCGTACCTGTTTCCTGACCTCGCCACCTTTCCCACTTTCGCTGACCTCGATACGCACCTTCGCACTAGTGACACCCGCTACCGCGCTGCGCTTCCTGCTGAGTTCTGCGCCAAGAACCCCCCCCCTATGTACATCACCCTCTACTACATAGTCACTCGGCTCCCTGACTCCCTTCGCTCGATCAGGGACCACTTCCTCTCTGTTTGCCCCACCACACTCACCGTTGACCTCCTCGAGGAGCGCCTCCTGGCAGCTGAGAAGAGTATAGTCGCTGTAGGAGCCTCTAGAGGTGACCCGCTTGCCCCTCTCTTTGAGAGGTGCTCCCCCTCCCCCCTTTTGCCCTCTGTTGCCTCTGCTGCTGCCGTCGACTTCGTTGGCACTGAATCGGTCGGCGCTGCGTCTGCCCCTAGCGGGCGACGCCGCACCGGCAAGGGCAAGGGGGGCAAGGGCATTAGAGGGGCTGGCGGGGGCAGTGGAGGTGGAGGTAGAGGAGGCGGAGGGAGTGGGGGTGGTGGTGAGAGTGGTGGCGGGGGTGGGGGCTTCGGTGGCGGCGGTGGCGGCAGAGGCGGCGGCGGCGGTGGCGGTGGGAGCGGAGGAGGAGGCGGTGGCGGCGGTGGCGGAGGTGGCGGCGGAGGAGGTGGAGCTAGTCGGGGCGGCTCTGCGCAGCGGGGCGGCTTAGGTGGTGGTCAGCGCCAGCAGCAGCAGCGCACTCGTGAGACCCCGTCCCCCCAGCAGCTTCGTGAGTGGTACGCTCGGCGTCAGCGAGGTGGGGGTACTGGTCCCTGTACCTACGTCCTCCGTACCGACGACCGCGCTGGTGAGCAGTGCGGGGGCTCGCACTCCACCCAGCGCTGCTAAGCCCGCCTGACGGACGCTTGGCGTCACCAGTTCCCTGACGCCACTGAGATCCCTCGCTAGGAAGAGCTGTCTAGGGCGGGGGTTGCTATCTTTGATCTTGACTATGATGCTATTCTTGCTGCCATGTATGCTGTGTCTACTAGTGATGAGGGTGACTGTTACCTGTGTGTTCCGCCTGAACTGGGCATTGAGGCTGCTGCTCTAGGTGCTGGTGAGGCTGCTGATCTAGGTGCTAGTGCGTCTGCTGCCCCAGGTGCTGGTGAGTCTGCTCTCTCAGGTACCACGTCCACTCAGGCCTTACACACCTTCACCCTTAACTCGGGTGCTTCCCGCTCCTTCTTTCGAGACCGCACCACGCTTACGCCGCTTAGTCGGCCGGTTGCGGTCTCCCTAGCGGACCCCTCTGAGGGTCCTCTCCTTGCTCGCTTCTCCACTTTCTTACCGTGTCCGGCAGCCCCCTCTGACACCCTGACAGGTCTTTACCTCCCCTCATTCTCTACGAACTTGGTGAGTGGTGCTGATCTACAGGATCGGGGGGTTGACCAGTTCACTCTTGCGAGTCAGCGGGTGACCCACTGTACGTGTACTCGGACGGGCCGACACTTGGCCACGTTTACCCGTCGGCCGTGGTCGAGCCTGTACACCCTCACTACTGAGTCTCCTCCGGTTGCTGAGTCTGGTCAGGTAGCTCCGTCGAGTCAGGTGTTTGCTGCAGCATCCAGGTCTGGTCCTGAGTCTGCTCCCTGCTCGTGTCGTCTCCTGTCCCACCAGACTCTCCTTTGGCACCACCGCCTTGGTCACCCCTCCCTGCCTCGTCTCCAAGGCATGGCCTCCCGTGTCCTTGTTTCTGGTCTCCCCCGGTCCCTCCCTCCCCTCCCTCTGGGGCCTGCCCCTAATTGCGTTCCCTGCGTCGAGGGGCGGCAGCGCGCCGCCCCTCACTCCTCCGAGTTTCCTCCGACAGAGGCTCCGCTGCAGACTCTTCACATGGACGTGTGGGGCCCCGTCCGCGTCCGTGGCCAGGGTCACGAGCGTTACTTCTTGTTGGTGGTTGACGACTACTCGCGTTAAACCACGGTGTTCCCCTTGCGCGGCAAGGGTGACATCGCTGAGGTGTTGATCGACTGGA